AGGATGCAGCCCCTGAATTGGGACACAGCTCATGTGGCCATGAGGGACAGGGATACAGTCTGACTTCCTGCTCTAAATTGAGGGCTGTGGCTAAAATAAGGCTCCCATGGACTAAAACTCTGTGTTTCAGTAGTGACATGAAAATAAGATACAGCAGTTTTTTTAATTAAACTCTTGATAAATCTACATCTTTCACTTCACATTAAAAGAAATCAAAATGTTCTTAAAATACGAAAAAAAACAAAAAATGTGAGTGTTAAAGTTAAAGTGTAATTGTAATTGTTGAAATTTAGGTATTAGTGTTTGGGACAGAAACCTCCTAATAGAACATATCCTATCAATGCTGATTTTGCATATATTTAGCTCATTACTGTCTCAATTAATGCCTTTGGATTAAATAGATTATCACATAATAATGTAAATATCTAAGGTCTGAATATTTAATTGCTCAATATTTTTTTTTGTTTGGAACTAATTTAGCAGAATGGTGCATATAGTAGCACACCACAATTCATACTAATAAACCAATGTATCTCAAAACGAGGAGAGTTTAGTGAGGTGGGTGGGGGTGGGTGGAGTTGTCTGAGCTGCTCTAGCTGTTAATTAATGCCTTTGGTTTAAATAGATTATCACATAATAATGTAAATATCTAAGGTCTGAATATTTAATTGCTTAATATTTTGAGCAATTAATTTAGCAGAATGGTACATATAGTAGCACACTACAATTTATACTTATAAACCAATGCATCTCAACCAGTACTGTAGTGGTGCATCTAATTATATTATCATATTTATGTTTGTGTGTGTATATGACAGATAACCAATGTATGTATGTATGATAGTCTAATACTTACATCAACAAATAAATGTTTGAAAAAGAATATATAGGTTAAATTACCATTATATTAGTATGCAAGTCAATGAATTATTGCTGGTACCTCATAAGCATATCCACACTCACATAGTCTTAGCAGAAACTAGAGTCTGCAGTCAGGCTGCTGATTTGTGACTCATACTAGCCCAGTAGTGCAGTGTTGTTAGCTGGAGCATGAAAACCTGTAGATACAGCACAAATCTCTCTCTCCATCTCCCTCTCCCTCTCTCTCATGCACACACGTACACACAATCCCACCTACACACACAAACACATGTTTTTATTTCCACACTTCCATTTGGGTACGAGAGAAGAAGGCAGGTCAGGTAATTCACTTTATTTTACAGATGGTGAGTAAAACTAGGCAGCAAACATAAAATAACACAATTTACTTTTAATGGAGAAAAAAAAAAGGCTAATGGGGTTTTAAAGGTGTACTTTCACCGTGGTGTCTAATGGTCAGTTAGTGACCAGAGCCTTGGTAGTGATAAAGTGGCCTAATGTGGAAAAAACACTTTATTGTTGCGTCTTTTTTCTCCATTTAGTCTGTTTCTCAACTCTACTGAATGTTTTTCCAGCGAAAATTCACCACTTTATGAGTCCTGGTAAAGTGTAATTCTCTCTCTCTCTCTCTCTCTCTCTCTCTCTCTCTCTCTCTCTCTCTCTCTCACACACACACACACATACAGTCACTCTTTCTCTCCCCCTCTCTCTTTTCTCTCTATTGCTTTCTGCCTCTCCCTTTTCTTTCTTCAGTCTCTCTCTCTTTTTCCTCATATCTCTCTGTTTGTTTGTTTCTTTCTCTCTCCTCACCTTCTTACTCTGTCCCTCCCTATCCATCGTCATCTCTTCCCCCCATCTCTTTCTTCCACTCTCACCCTGTCTCTTACTCTCCTTTTTTCTATCACTTTTTGCCTTTAATTCTTTCTCTTTACCTCCCTCAATCATTCTTTCTCTTGTTCTTTCTTTCTCTTTATACACTTTCTATCTCTTTGTCTCTCTTCTCCTCTTTCTGTCTCATTCTCCCTCTCTTTCTTCCTCTCTCCTCCCTTTCTTTCTCTTTCTACATCTTTGCTTCTCTTTGAATCTCTTTTCCTCCCTCTCTCTTTCCCCTCTTATTTTTCTCTTTCCATCTTCTTTCTTCATCCTCTTTTCTCTCTCTTGTTCTTTCCCTCTCTTCACTCTTTCATCTCTCCTGCTCTCAGTTTCTTTCCTTCTTCTACCTCTTTCATCCCTCCATCACTATCTTTTTCGCCTTTTCTCCATCTCGCTCTGCTGCTTAGTCCCCCTCCGCCCCCCACCCCCGTCTCTCTCATTCTCTTTGTCACGACTCTGTTGGTATTCTATCAGTCTGAGGACGAGTGGGCTGGTGTCACCATAAAGAAACCATTATCGTGTCGTATAGCTCTCATCTGAGTTCCTCATTTTAAACCCACCTGGCCGTTAATCGATGATGCAGCACGTCGGACGCCGCTGGGCAGAACCTGTGCAATCAGAGCAGTGAGTCATACATAGAGCACAGTGCACTTTACAGCATTACAATTCAATGCATCGGTTCTTAGCTCATTTCAGTGGCCTCTCTCAGACTTATAATAAATGTATGATTAATGAGATGCTGTAAGTCCTCTCTGCACTGCATTAAAGTAGTTATGCATTGCTCTTTGTGCAGTCTGGTTTGAGTTTCAGTAAGTATTTAAGCTATTGTATGGGTGTAGCATCTGAGTATTCCTTTGTGTGTCTTTTTCAGGCGCTAATGTAAATGATGAGATGTGCAGGTAGAACATCCAGACTACACTATATGTCTAAAAGTACCTAGACGTCCTTTCTTATTAGAGAATGGCTTTATGGTGCACCCATTGCTGATATAGGTGTTCAATTATACTCCCATAGCTTGCATAATCTCCATAGAAAAGCAAAGCTGATATTACGGTGCCTCAGGTCACCATGCCTAATGCCAAGAGTCGGCTACCAGCATTGTGCTGTGGAACAGTGGAGCTGTTTTCTCTGTCGTAAAGGAGCTCCATCCATCCTTTTGGGATGAGGTGAAGTGGTGTTTGTGTAAAGCTATCCCAGAAAAGTCGAGGCTGTTGCTGCCACAAAGAAGGACAAATTCCCCATTAGCACCCCTGATTTCAGAAAAAAAATCATTGGTGTCTACAAATTTTTGGACATACAGTGTAAGTGCTGTGGGGCTTTTCCCTTCAAACGTCAGCCAGTGACTCATGTTGTAATCACTGGGCCTCTAATGTTTACTATAAATTGTCAGCTAGTTCTTAAAGTGCTTTCTACTACGAGTCCCAGTGCTGAAATTACACTGTTCTCATCTTTCTCTAAATCAAACAACTCTTTATTCTGAAAACAATCAGTACAGTCAATACAGCTGTGCTTTTTTTAAGACTAATGAGAATTTTAGATATGTTCGAGTCAATTTGTGTATATACTACATATGATATTCTCATTATTTAACATCTTTATAGTAAATGATCTAGGACATTAATCAGAAAAATATAATACACCATATAACACAGCACTGGTCAATAAACAAATGAATGTATTATTGATAATCACATAAACAACTATTCCACCTAACAAGTTCATTAAAAGTAAGCTATGGTCACCAAGATCCACAATCTACAAAAAGTATTACATGAACAGCACAAACCTTCTTCATAAATTGGCACAGAATTCATTTAATGTGTGGAGTCATATGTGTGCATATCGAGTTCTTTTATGTTTCTGAATGTAGCTCAGCCAATCAGATATTAGAACTAAAACTATCCATTACATAATTTCTGTTACAGAGTGTTCTGTTTTACATTTAATGTTTCAAAAAGTACTTCACAGAACAGTATTATGTGAAATTGTTTACATACACTCTGCCTGATTCCTGGCATTGTTTTGTGATAGTGTTTAGAGAAGGTTTTGGCCTAAAACTTCTCACAGCAGAGAAGTACATGCAAGTCATTGTGAGGCAAAATAGTCCCCAAAGAAAACTTTTTTTTTGTCTACAAATTTACCACTATTTGACCATCATGCATATTACATATAAAAAACCCAGAAGACATATTAAGGTTCACTGAATAATAAATAAATTGGCTATATTTGGGTGGTTGTGCTGTTTCCTATTACCACCACTGTAAAGAAATGTGGGTCTGTGATTTTCTCTACAATACACCATTTCACATCAAACCACTCTAAATGGCTTTGTTTACATCTAAACGACTGAATTATGTTGAAATTTTGAAAAATTGGTGGAATTTCCCTTTAATTCTTATGAATCTGATATTGTATTCTTCACATGAAAACTGCTGAATATTCCAGTAATCACTTTAATTAGACTAAACAGTCCACTGCTAATAGTGTTGTTCAAATGTAGGCCTGTTCAAACATGGGCTAATGTGTAGATGATATAACCAGTAGCTTGGTTCGTTAAAAATAAGGAAGGAAAGTGTTGTTTGTCCATGAGTGAAAACGCCATAATACCTCAGAAAAAGGAGAAGTGTAGGCTCATATGAAGTCGCCTAAACCAGCACGGTTGCTGCTTTAGTTGTTGGCTGCTGCCATCGCGTGGCTGTTAACTACATATGGCGGCCAACATACTCACTTTTTTAAAAGGCCCTTAATTTGAACTTATGAAACGCACGGCTGTTTATTTGTGCTAAAACAACATCATTAGTGGGACATTCCACAAAGTAGGATTTCTCAAGAACCTAGAACAATTACATTGAAAACCCAGTGAATATCCCCCTATTTGAATGGTCTTAACTTTTGCCTTAAATCATCTGACTAACTCCTTTGAAATACCCCTGCTTTAGTCACCGTTAAACTACCTTTCAACAAACGGTCGTTCTCAGGAACAGGAGTTTATGTGGCGTTGATAATAAAGAGTGTTTAAGTTTGAGTTTTGCTAGATTTAGGACAACAGCGTCTTTCTAAAATCTGTTATCAGATTTTATCAAAACAAACAGGACGCCAATAAAATGTCATACCGTCAATAGAAGGCGCTAGAGCGTCGATTTACGTGGCCATGACGAAGTATTAGGAAGGCCGAGTTCCAAATGGCTTTGTGGTGGATATCAAGTGCACTATATCGTTGTGGAATCAATTATGTGACCTATGTAGTGCACTACATAGGGCGTAGGGAGTGATTTGCGATAAAGCCCAAATCTTTGTCGAAACTTCATACGGCAAGGAGAGCAGGAAACGATAGTATCGCGGCCGGCTGTGATGGGTGTAAAAATCCGAGTGGAATATTGGTGAGTAATACTAAAAAAATAGCGTGATAATTTTTGTCACGTCTTTACAGGATAGCTAAAGCGAGCCTTGTGAAACAATGTAAACCAAGTTCAGTCAGGAAGGTCGCTAGTTAGCTATGCTAACTCATTGTACTTAGCTAGCTAGTTAACCCAGCTATAATGGCATAAGAATAATAAAAAAAATCAAGCGTTAGCGTTATTTACTAGTCTAACAACGCCATACATTCAAAGTATTGTCGCAGATAAAATGTTAAGACGGATGCTAGCTCAGGGAGTATAAATACAGAAGCTGCTTGTGCTCTCTCGTTATGAAATCAGTTTGCTAGGTTATGTTAGCTGGCTTCCAGTTCATTCCTCTTTTGTCTGAATAACATCTCATAACGGTAGCTGTGTTTACGTCTTGGCTCGATAGGAACCGAAGTGTGGAAGTTGGAGTATGGGGTTAGGGTTAGTAGGGCCGTTCTTTTATTATTATTATTTTATTTATTTATTTTTTTAAATCTCGTACCGTCTAGATTACTCATTTTCTTAAAATAAAAGACATGGTCGTAAGTATGAAGTCCATTAAATGAGTAGCGTATCCTGTAAACAACACAACGATTGCTGAGTTAGTGCAAATTCAAATTATAGTCATAAAATAAATGTTTTGGGTGGCGAGCACTGTCAAACAGGCTCTTCAGAGCACTGACTCACTCATTTAACTCACGATGTGAGACCAACGCCTTCAAGTTCAGTTTGTTTGAAGAGGAAAAATTTTAAACAGGGCCCTCCAGAGGGGCACAGTCATTCCACAAAGCATGATTTGTAGGATTTGTCAGTTTCGACCAATCCTCAACTTTGGGTGTATCTTATCTGGCTAACTCAAAAGTCCTGCTTTGAGAAACACTCCCCAGGACCTGGGTTTGGCACTCATGTCTCAAATGCACATTCTATCCATTTTGCATTTTTTTGCATAATTAAATCTTTAAGATGGAAACAAAATCATCTATTGTGTTTTAGAATGAAAAACGCTGTTTTTGGGAACTTTACTGAAATCAGAATTGTTCATAGTGGTGGTGATGGGGAACCAGACATCTGAAGAATTTTTAATGCCTCTAAAAGGTTCCTCACAGAAGGTTTTTACATGAAATGGTATACATGCTATTGTCAGATGCATGAAACATTAATTTATGATAGTTTTGCCTCTAAAAATCGTCTTTAAAATTTATTAATGGTTGAGAGGGTGTTTTAAGGCATAGTAGCACATAACGAAAAAAATAGTGGTAGATTCAAAAGATAAGTTACCATGATCTTTAAAAATTGTAAGGTAGGGGTGGGAATCTCTAGGCACCTCACGATTCGATTTGATTACGATTCAGAGGGCTGCGATGCGATTAAAAAACGATTATTGATGCATCTCGATGCATCTTTTTTTTTCTATACATCATTTCTATTTTCTCACTGTGTGAGGACTTGGTAGTTTTAAAGCAAAGTATTTGTAATGATCCATAATGAATTTACTTCCAATCTCTTTTATTAATAAATCAAATGGAAGTGATGTGGCAAGTGAACTAGAAGGCTCTCATTCACTGCCTTTGCAGCACATGAGACGCTGCCACTCATCTGCGATAAAATGCGCAGTTACGGTGAAACAAGATCCAGTGGCAATGGATGTCCACACAGCACGTTACAGCCGTCCTACCCGTTTTTAGTGACTTTATAACTTCGGTTTTGGTCTTCGTAGAGAAAGGGGTGGGAGGGATCGCTGTGTCAGTAAAATGTCTTCGAGACGTGATGTGTGCAGCATAGTGTGAAAGCCCTGTTTCGCAACGACTGGGAACTGGCGTGCAGACTGCAGGTCACCTAGCAACGATGCGTTATTTGCATTTATAAGCAGTGCAGTTGGTTTCCTGGTACGTTAAATCTGCAACGAGAGACTGTCAAACAGTAAAAAGTCACAAAGATGAAGTCGCTTCTCTTCCAAATTTTGTCGTGGAACAGGAAAATTCGAAAAGGCGACTTCAGCCTCGTAAGACAGCCGAATGTTGAGAGACATTTTACAAGAAACTGCTCTAGTTTTGAGGAAAAGTTTTCTGGCGGAAATGGGAGGAAAGCGGCTATAGCTAAAGCTTAAAGGAGAGCAAAGTAAATCTGTGCTCTCGTTTATATTGTTTAGCCTATACTAGCACATACTGACACATACTGGACATTAAATGTTTGATTTTTGTTAAAAGGACAAAATGGCTCTTCTTATCATTTGTGTTGTGACTCCTGATCTAACCTGGCTTTGATGCAGAGGCTGCCGGTCAGATTTCTCACTCATCCAGTAGTGTTTTTGTTGTGTGCCGCCACAGACTGTCCGGGCGCTGCACTTAACCACTTCCAAGTTCCGCCTTTTGCGTTCCGTCAACATTACGTTATAAATTAAATATTTTGAAAATAAATTTTTGACATTTGTGAATCGATTCAGAATCGTTCACGTCCACATTGCGATTTATCTAAGAATCGATTTTTTCCCGCACCCCTACTGTAAGGGCAGTTGCAGGTTTACCGCTCAGTTTGGATGGCAAATAAAGTGGCTATGTTTGCACTGTAGTCATTGTGGTCCCTGTTTCCTCTCACCACCACTATAAAGAATTACAAATAGATGAATTCCCCTTTAAATAGGTGTTGCGCCTTATACATGCATTTATTATTACATTAGTCTCATGAAATGAAACCAGATCCAAGTGATTGCTTTTTGTATTTTCTGCACTGATGTTTTCTGTGTATTTCACTTGAACACGTGACATATGGTGTGATTAAGTATACAGAATGGTCTAATTCTCACCTCTCTTTTCTCCAGTGGCGGATGAGGCTACGAGCCCCGCTATCAGGAGCTCAAGCGGGTCGTCATCGCTGAGTTCCCTGAAGCGGAGGTGTCCGGCTTCGTCGGCAGACAAGGTAGGTGAATGGCATGTTCCCAGACACCTTCTGATAAACTGAACTTTCATATGAAAGATACTTATGTAATGAAGATTTTATAGAGTTGCATATGTAAAGTATGTATGTGTGTAAGTTCTGTCTTTGAGTAAAGGATGTTATTTTATTTTGCTATTTAGGGAGCTTTGAGATTGAAATCAATGGACAATTGGTTTTCTCAAAGTTAGAAACCGGTGGTTTCCCTTATGAAGATGATGTGAGTATGCTGCCACAATCCACCTTAACTAATCAAACTCTCACTGCTATTAAAATACAAATACAGAGTGGAGTAATGACTGAATTTTTTGGCACAATCTTGTCTTTGGCATAGTCACTTGATTTGTGATGGTGTTTTAGGATACGTTTGTGTTTTTGTTTAATTGTTGGAAGAATTTAGCTATTAGACTAAATGAATGAGACTAAATTACATTTTCTTCTTCTTGTGCAGTTAGGTCTGTTACATTTGCAGTATAATGGCCTATTATTTTCCACAGTTCTTAGGTTTCACAATCAGATGTTAACATTTTAACAAACTGAATGTGAAGTGAGTTTGTTTTTATCAGTTGAACTGAGGCAAATAAATACAAATAAAAGAAAGCAGGGAACACCGTCTTAGAAAAACAATGTTTTACCTTCTGGCTGGTGCTGTAACACTTTTAGGCAGCAGTGAGTCATGTTTTTTTATTTGGGCTCCAGCTGTGTTTGTCCTTAATTGGAGGTGACTGAGTACCAACAGCCAGGAGGAAAGATAGCTAATCGATTTGTGCTTTAATGGCTGCACAAAATGAGCAAAAAAAGACAAGTTCTTAATAGCAGAGAAAAATAGATATAATACCTGAGAAAAATAGATTTAAAAGCCATTTATCTGGTAAATCCAAATAATATTAATGCTAAATGTATTGATTTTATGTGTTTTAATGTGTTTTCTTAATTATTTCCAAACCTGTCCTCATGGCAACCCGGTATTAATTGTAGCTTGCATCCAATACCTGGTATGGCAACTCAATCCTTCATTAAATTAAACCAGGTGTTCGAGTGATGGAGTGAAACAATCTGGATTCACACTTTGTCTAGCGGACAAGACTTCAACTACTTTTTAAAACAAGCCATTTTTGTTGCTTTTTACTGTATTTGTTTTACAAGCACAGTTATTGTGAAGATAAATGGTTTTAAATAATGTGCTTAGGTGCCTAAAACTTTTGCACAATATTGTAAACGGTAAATCTTTTTGCAAATATTGCATAATTGTGGTAGGCCCAAGCGCAGTTATGACACTGTGTGCTCAGAATGCCTTTTAGTATTTAATAATAGAATTTTTTTTCTCACTCTTTTTCTATATTTCTGTATTTCTCTCTTTCTCTCTCTTTCTCCTTCTCTAGGTCATGGATGCCATCCAGAATGCCCACGATGGCAAGCCGGTGGGGAAGATCACCAAGAGCCGGCCGCCTTGTGTGATACTCTAACCCCTTTTGACCGTGATTACCACACCAAACTCTTTGTGGCTGCTCAGGGAATGTTGCCTTCCTGGCTATTACTTTGCAAGCAAGGCTTCCTTACGAGGCTGAACATTGCAGGTTATGGTTAAAACCATTTAGAGTGAGATGTGTGTAACGGGTCCTCAGGTGTTTCCTTTACTGTGCTTCTAACGGTGTGCTTTTTGGACTTAAATGATTACTGTAGCTGAAAGGTGAAAGGTTGCAGTATGAATCTCATGGTCCAGACACCCCAAACCAGGAGCAGAGGGTCAAGGGAAACATCAGAGAAGAAGGGGTTCTTACTTTGTCCAAAACACTTTGCTTATATTTAATAACAGGCACTGGTGCTCAAGTCTGATTTTGCTTTTGTAATTTACCTGTGGTTTACACAGCATACTGGCATTGTCAGTCTGAGGCTAGAATTGTCTGGTTTGATCACCGGCACGTCATACTACTGAACCATAATTGGATTAGTGTGATTTATAAGGGAAAAGAATCTGACTTGAGCACTTGTCTAAATATAATCTGATTTCTTACCTGATGTTTTTCCTATCTTGATTGAAACTTAATTTAAAAATAGTCAGCTGGAGGTATAAAATAATTCAAATTAATCCTAATGCTAGGGTAGTGGTTGTACTGAAAGTCTCTAATGATAGCATTTAAACTTTGAATTGGGACTTGCATAATTCAAAAGGAGGTAGAAGCTTTCGTAATATTAGGACATAATGTGTACTGATTATTTTCTTTGGTTTTTGAGTTTTTCTTGCTTTGTAACACTGTCACAAAACCAAACTGCTGCTTTTGTGGACTTATATTTAAACAGCCTTGTACTGTCATCATGTAATTTATAAGTTACAATACGCATTTAGATTTTTGACACTGGTGCAGTCAGTGCTTGTGTTAATTATAACTATGTTGTGTTCATAGTCCTGCAGTCTGAAGTTCTTATCCATGCTTGGCTGTGCACGATATGTATGAGCTGTATAGGTGATGCGCCTTACCGGTTTTGTGCTTGCTGCTGTTCAGTTTGCTAAACGGTTTCATTTGATGGTTTTTAAGTGTCTTTCTTCACTGTGCTTCAAGTCATGTAGAATACCTCTGTTACCGTTTTGTGTTTGTTGCACAACCGCGCTGACAGTAACACAAAGGGAAGCGTCAGCCGTTTATTTCAGATATGCAAAGCACTGGGTGTAAATCAGAAGTCATAATGTCAGACTTAGAAACAGAAGCGCTAGCACATCTTAGGCCCAAACCCAGATTGCTCATCAGATCGTTCTGTCACTTAGTTCTCAGGAAACTGTCACATATTTAAATATTTGTTTTTCTGCATATCAGCAGTGTCTTTTCTTTTTACAAGAGCTCTAACTATGTTGTAACCTTCTTCATACTTGAATAAAAAGATGGTAAGTTAATTTAATGTTTACAGTTTGGTTGTTGCTTTCATAATGTGTCATCTGTGCTGGGTTAGAAAGAAAACAGCCTGTCCTATCATAGATGAAGCGAAACGTTCTTATCACGGTCATGAAATTTTAGCTATGAGTAATTGCCATTTTTCATTCATTACATGCAACTATTGAAGAACAAGCCTAAAGCAGCCAAATTGGCTGCTTCCTAGCTGTTGATTCTCAGTAACTTCTACAGCCTAAGCTCCAATAAACCAACATTACTTGCCATTACATTTCTAAAGGTGTTATAGCACCAGTCAGAAGTTAGAACGTTTCTTTTCCTAAGAGCCATTATGTGTCACAGTAAATGCGTTTTCCTTTTTTTCTCCAATTTACATGCATTTGCCTCAACCCAGCTGATAATGCACCCAATCCTAGTCTGTTTATTGCAGTGCAAACTTAGGACTGTGAAAGCTTACAAAATAAATGCAATGTATTAATAACTGATAACTAGTAACTAGTAATACATTGTATGTCCAAAAGTATCCAGACACCACTTCTAATTATTGAATTCAGATTCTAAGGTGCACCCATTGCACAGGCATTCAATAGGCACATGCAGCTATAATCTTCATAGAAAAGCACTGCCAATAGAACTGGACACTCTGGAGCAGCCACATGTGATTGTATGGCCACTATGCCAATGCAAAGCAATGGCTAGAGGGGTATAAAGCTCTCCAGCAAAGGGCTGAGGAGCAGTTTAACTGAGAGCTCTGTAGTGAGAGAACACCATTCAGTACCTTTGGAATAAGCTGGGGTAGCATTTGTGATCCAGAACTAGTCATCTAACAGCAGTTCCTGACCTCACTAACACACTTGTGGCTGAATGCAGTCAAATCCTCACAGTAGTGTTTCAGCATCTAGTGCAAAGCCTTCCCAGGACAGTAGAGGCTGTTACTGCAGCAAAGAGACAAACTCCGTATGAATAACCCTTTATTTCACAAACATTTGGACTGTATATTCAGAAAGATGCAAGTGTGAGTGGTGTAGCCTAATAGGCCCTAAATACAAAGGCTGTTTTAATTAGTAGTGAATAAGTCAGTAAGGAAAGAAATAGAAACAAACTGGAGAGAAATCCTGGGTACAATGATTTGTAATCTTTTTGTTGCATCTAGTTTAATCACTATCAGCATATCTTGTGTTTTGATGCTGGTATGCTGGTTAACCAGTATGGCCATGCTGAGGTGACCAACTAAACCAGAACCAGACCAGTCCAGCATTAGAACAACACAAACCAGCTTAGACCAGCTTGAAATGCTTTTTGGTCTGTGCTGTTCAGCAGGGAAGTTGAGAACAGCTTTGCTATAGTAGCCTAGTAAGCTATAGCTACAAGCTACAGTTAAACAGTTAACAGACCTTGTTTTACCAGGTGGCCCTTAAAAAGGCAACTGCCTGTCTGTTTTATTCTTGTCACAGGTTAATATGTTACAGTACATGACCATTTTTCTTTCATGAGCATCAAACAGAGGTAGGACATGGTGGTTGATAGAGTAAAATAAAGAAGGTTCCTGTAAGGCAATGGCAGGTGAGGCTATGAGTCTTCATCAAGTCCTCCTGGGCAGAATGAGGTGTTCTAACACTGCTCTAATGTCTGGACCTATATAAGCCTGGTAGGGTTTCTGAATAATTCCAACAAAGCAAATTTCAGTTTCAGCTTACAAGGAATTACTTCCTAAATTAACCACAGCAGACAGAGCCCGCAGCCACATCCAGTTTTCTTTAGTAAGTCTTACTTAAGCTTTTAGCCATTTCTGTCATTTGAATAATCCATTTTCTGCATGATTAAAAAATTCAGTAATGATTTGAAGACAGCTACAGTTACACAGCTTCTTAGCAGTAAAGTTAGCTATAGGGCTTCCTTCTGCATTTGCCAGCTGGGGAAAAAAATCAGCCCACCCCAAAAAATCCACACCAAAGCAGCTGTAGTTCTTGAAATGTTTTGCCCTCCTTCAAAATACATCATCAGAATTTATTTATTTTTTTTTCTTTTTTTGTAGTCTTTAAACCAAAAAATCTCATTGTAAGAACTCCTACTGCACCACCATAGGAGGCGAGCAGAGATGTTTACTACAGATGAAGTGCCCCCTTATTCCACTAAACCAGTCGTGCAGTTCCACTGAGAACAATGGTCCTGCATCAGAATGCATGCAAAGCTTGAGCTGCATTTACATATGAAAAATATATACGTATACTTACATTTGCATATACATATTTACATATTTTCCCCATATCATACATCTGTAAACTATTCAGATATCTTACTCTGCAATAGTAAAAGTTTTGCTTTTTGGAGACACTTCTCATGATCAAAATCATCCTCTAGTCACTGAGCTCTGCATTCCCCACACTGGAAATTCAGCACTATATCAATGATAATATAGAGAATAGAAATCATGATTGAAGTGTTACTCAAAATTTTGTATACTGTTACATGGATTTGCTCATCACTCTGCAACAGTAGTCACATTCTGTTGCCTATGACACAAGCATTGTGGGTATTTTATGTGTGCTAGGGTATGTCATCATGGTGCACTGTGGGATTGGAACAGTGTACTGTATATTGTCCATTGTTTTATAAAATAGCAGACCCTCAAAACAGTGCATTTACAGTCATATGCAAAAGTTTGTGCACCCCGGGCAAATGAAGTTTTGTTTATTTTTGAAGTGAACATTCTCTACAGGGAAGACATTTCTTCATTTTAGTGCACAATCACTGTTTATTTGCTGAATTTAACATTTTGTGAAAAAAACCCATAAAATCTGACCTGTATATTTGTTTTTCCAATATGTTAAACTTAAATAAATATAAATTATGCACTAAAACCTGCAGAAAACGTCTATTTAAGTTAGCTCTCTGTCGTGGATGTGTTAACTTGTTTTCACTTAGAAAATCAGCAAAATGTAATTTTACCAGGTTATTCAAACTTTCACATATAACTGTACAGTCAATCATTTTGGACAAATGATGTTCTGAGCAACCTGTTCTAAATAGATTCAGCTCTAAATAAGCTGAAATCTCAATAAATCCAGATAAAACATGTTTTTCTAACTTAAAAATAAACTTTATAAACCCTGTGTAAACTCATCTACATGTTAGCACACTTTGTTCCATAGTGACACAGGCAGAGCTTGGTCCCATAGCTCTGACAGCATACGCTCATGTTACAAGGTAAACAGTGTCACCTGATCAGGGCTTTATATCCCAACAGAATGAACTGCTGACATTATATAAGAAACCTCACGTAATGATCATTCTGCAGGTGTTCACGTTCAGAGTGTAAGAATCTATTACTGCAGATGAAGATGAGGATGAAGACCAGTTAGGGATGTATTTCTGATGTGACTGTGATGCTGTCAGAGCCTGACTCATCTATAGGACTGTTTTTAGTGCAACACACCCCAAATACTCTGAAGAGACATTTAATTATATATAACCAAATGAATTCTAAAGAAAGAGATGTATATTAACTCCTATAGGTGAGGTGGTGCTGCTGAACACATCCTCTTCTACAGGAACTGGCAGGATCCATGATGAACCTGTAGAGAGAGAAAGAGAATAAGGTTAAAGCTAGCTGAATAATACCTACTGGTGGAAAAAAAGCTTAGTAAGTAGCCCTGTAAAGAACAGTGACAGTGATTTTGTTGTACAATGTTTGTACCTTCATATCTTCCGTAATTAGTGTCTTTTAAAGTTGTTTTAGTCCAGGCCCAAATAGGGTGATTTAAAAGGTCTGTAACTCAGTGTCAAATAAAAACAGAAATTAGTTATTTTTAAATCCACTTTGACCTGTATTTAAATGAAAACAGTACAAAGACAACATAGTTAATATTTTACCTGATTAACCTCATTGTTTATATTTATATGCACC